AGAATTGGAACGTGTAATCAAGATTTTCAAAGGTTTGAGATATGATTACGAAGTGCAAGTGATTTATCCCGTTTAATTTATTTTTTTATGTTGATAAATATTATGCTAATAAAAGTAATGATATGATATGAAATGGTCACCCTGTACCAAAGATATGATATATTATGAGCTCTTACAGATTTCTAAAGATATGATGTGATCATATGATATTTTTTACGCATGATTTAATATTTTTATCTGGGATTGCACAATTACTCGTGTCATATTGAATATTCTTATATACTTACTTTTTTCCCTACGCCTCACAGATGAGAACGAGTCGTTGGTTGACGGGCGAAGATGTATTGTCGTGTGCTAGAAATTTGGAATATGTCATGTCAATGAATTGTATGTGTAATGAAATGATTGTTTTCCAAAGTAAATAAGTGCTCCAAATTGCCAATAAAGTTTTAATTGTATGCTTTGTTGGATCAAAATACTGTTACATTGATTTAGGTTTATAGTAAAATAATGGATATTATTATGTTTTTCATTGGATATAAGGAGTATATGGTAGATCGTTTCCTTATAGCGAATAAAATCAAGCGGATAAAAATTTATACGTATGTTTAATTATGTCCATAAATTTTAAATTGTCAAATAAATTTTATTTGATGTAACCAATCATATAGGAACAGTATATGGTGTAGATAAACCTTCGTTACTTTCTTTTAAATAAATAAATGAAATTTTCGTAACAATTTGAATTATAAAAATTTGGATCGTTATATCGGAGATGGGCTGGCTTGTTTGGAGAGCCCGCAAGTTGCCTTGCCAAATTCAAGCCTAAATTTGTCATAATAACTATTTACATTTTTCTTTGTTGTTGTAATTCCATCTCGTTATATTTGTGATTTGTCGTACAAATTGTTGTAAGAATTTTTATTAAAAGAAATTAGTAAAATTAATATTTTTATTAAAAAATCGATTAGCTGCTGGGCCAATCGGCATAGCGAGCTCGGACCATATGCAAGTTGGAGCCCCATTTTTGGGTAACAAGCCTAGCTTGGCTCTTGGGCCAAAATGCTCGGGCTCACATAGGAAGCAAGTCGAATCGAGCCTATATTTTGGGCCTATGGGTCAGCTCGTTTGGGCTCATTGACACCCATAGGCGAAACTTATAGGGAAAATTACATAATTCCAGTCTTTTCAAGATCATGGTGCAAAAACCAGGTGGCATTGTTTTTTATTCAAAATTCAGGTATTTATTTAACTATTAAAATATATAACCCATCCCATCCCAATCCAATTTCAAACCCTAAAATTCAAATTCATTTGACTCCATATTCTCTCCTCACTCTCTCCACTTAACCCACACCTACCGCGCCACCACCCGCTGCTGGAGACCATCGCCGAACTCACAGCGACGATCGTTCACCGGCTCTCCCTAATTTATTTTACCCTCTTTTCCCCTCGATTCTTTCTCTCTTTATCCTTTCCGTCTCTCATTCCTCTCCCTTACACGTGAGTAGCCGCCGTCGTCGGAGACAACAGCGTCACCGCGACGATCGCCTCCAAGCGCCACTGTGCAGATACCGCGAAGACCGCCTTCGTTCATAGCGATGACCACCTTCGTTCGCGATGCTGCAGTCCTTCGACGCCGACTGGTGCTGGCGTGGGGAAGGGGTTTGGGGTTTTTTCTTTCTCTTTCCGATTTGAGGAGGTTGTGGTGAATCATTGATATGGGTGGTGGTATCGTGAAGTGGTGGTGGCGGCGGCGATTTGGGGATTGTTTGGTAAGCGGTGATTTTTGTGTAATTATGTTGGTAGATATGTTGACGGTAGTGCTGGTGGATGGTGGTGGTGCTGGCGATGGTCGCATGGTGAGGGTGGTCACAAGTTGCGGTGCCGGAGACACCTCCGAACGCCGCTACAAGGTTCCTGTTGATGTGATACTTGTAGCAGGGCACTGTTGGTGTGCAGTGGTATTTGACCAGATGTGGTGTGTGGTGGGTTGACAATGCTAGTGGCAGTCGACGGTGGTGCAGATAGCGGATCTGGTGATTTTGATTTTCTGTGACTAAAAATATAATCTGTGACCTTAAAATTTGGTAATCTGTGATCAATCATTTTGTCATCTGTGACCTAAAAATTATATAATTTGTAACCGTGAAAAAATCAGTGACCAATTAATTTGAAAATATGTAACTGTGTTACATATAATTTTTGATCTGTGACCAACTAATTTTGAAATTTGTGACCAACGAATTAATTGTGATTTACAAAATTTTTGAGCTGTGATCGTAAATTGTAAATGTGTTATCAAAATGGTCATCGGAATAGTCGTCGGAATCGTAGCAGTCGCCAGAACGATCGTCAGAACAGTCTCCGGAGAAGAGTGGTAGTCGGAATGGTCGCCGGTGCGATATAGGTGATGCATGTGGGATGTGTTAATTATATTATATTAGAATTAAATATTTAATAATAAATTGATTTAAGAATTTATTATTTCATAAATAAAAATTTTAAAAAAACTTGATTTTTGAATTTTCAAACTATAAACCTGATTTTTGAATTGGTGTAAAGTATACACCTTATTTATGAATTTTACCCAAACTTATAAAAATAGGTCTTCGTGCAGTTGTGTCATTTGNCGATTTGGGGATTGTTTGGTAAGCGATGATTTTTGTGTGATTATGTTGGTGGATATGTTGACGGTAGTGCTGGTGGATGGTGGTGGTGCTGGCGATGGTCGCATGGTGAGGGTGGTCACAAGTTGCGGTGCTGGAGACACCTCCGAACGCCGCTATAAGGCTCTTGTTGATGTGATACTTGTAGCAGCGTAGTTGTGGTGGCACTGTACGTGTGCAGTGGTATTTGACCAAATGTGGTGGGTTGACAATGGTGGTGGCAGTCGACGGTGGTGCAGGTGGAGGATCGGTGATTTTGATTTTCTGTGACCTTAAAATTTGGTAATCTGTGACCAATCATTTTGTCATCTGTGACCTAAAAATTATATAATTTGTGACCGTGAAAAAATTTGTGACCAATTAATTTGAAAATATGTGACCATGTGGCATATAAATTTTGATCTGTGACCAACTAATTTTGAAATATGTGATCAACGAATTAATTGTGACCAGCAAAATTTTTAAGTTGTGACCGTAAATTGTAAATTTGTTACCAGAATGGTCACCGGAATAGTCGTCGGAACGGTTGTCGGAACAGTCTCCGAAGAAAAGTAGTGGTCGGAATGGTCGTCGAGCGATATAGGTGGTGCATGTGGGATGTGTTAATTATATTATATTAGAATTAAATATTTAATAATAAATTGATTTAAGAATTTATTATTTCATAAATAAAAATTTAAGAAAAAAAACTTGATTTTTGAATTTTCAAACTATAAACCTGATTTTTGAATTGGCATAAAGTATACACCTTATTTATGAATTTTTCCCAAACTTATAAAAATAGGTCTTCGTTCAGTTGTGTCATTTGTGAGCCCGCCAATAGGTTGCAACATGCAATACACAGGCAAGTTGAGTTGAGCATGCCAAATCCAAATTTTAATTTTATTATTGAGAAAAGAAGGTGAAACATAATTTTGATTTTTAGTAAGTTTGCTCGGCGTGGAAGATGAGAAATTCTTAGAATTTGTTGATTCTAAGCGTATGTAGTTGATATAATAGAGTATAGTATTTATCTGTTTGAGAATTGTGATTGTAAAAGAAAAAATTTCACCAAGTATTTTCAAGTGGCATGACCAAGAGGGTCAAAGGGACATGAATGTAGTAAAGGCACATTATTCAATTTGAAGGACACATGAAAAAAATTCATATTTGGACAATCCAAAGTCAATATGATGATTGTTAAATTTTTTGACTTGATATTGACATAGTTAAAAGCAGGAAATAATTTTATCTTGCACAAAATATGATTAAATTTTAAGTGATGGGATTGATATAAACAATTATACTACACAAACATACTCATTGACATGATTAAAAATCGGGGGGACACATGACGCAACATTATCACACAGTTTGGAAAAAAAAAAAAAAAACACCC